TTTCACCTTTTGAGTTGCCATACTGACATAAATGAACATTTGCACGATATTCTAATTTTTCGAGTTTCACCTGTAGAATCTATACTTAACAGAAAAAAGAAAAATGTGATTATGTGCATAAAAATTAAAAAAACAAGTGACATTATAAAAAGGTTTAAAAGAATCTTAAAAAGAAAAAAATATGTAAAGGAAGAAAGAAAAAAAAATCACAGAAGTTGACGACTTCCCAAAGGGGACGGCACAGTGATTTCCTCTCTCTTCTTACACTGAAAATTACAAAACAGTTTCAAACATTACTAATTGAAGAAAAAAAGAAGTACTGTGTGTTAAAAATAAGCGACAGAATTGGCGGTATGCCCAGACCCTCTATCTTGAAATAACCAAAAATAGGAGTACAGAAAAAAAAAAAAATACTGCCATATAGACTTTTAACGGAGGCTTTTATTGTAGGCAAACTCCGACTTCTCCCGCGGCAGATTCCATTGAATGACACACAATCAAGTTTGTCCATCTGCAGATTTTAAAGATAGGATAAATGCCTCTGCATTCAAAGGATTATCAAATTTGTGATTCTGATCTTGATGATTAATGCAGAATGTAGCTAGAAAATGCATGAAATATTGAAGTTGTATTGATCTGGCAAGACTTCAAGCTTTTGTAAACATCTTTATCTTTTCTGAAACCTCTTTAGTAAAATCACGATAAACTGATATCTTGCTTTGACTAGACCCCCACTTCAAAGGAGACTTTACTAATTCCTGGTGAAATATCCATAAAATCTCATATCTTGTGGTAGCATGGAGGAATTGCACAATAATAATATTGGAACTAGTTCCAGTCTTCCTTCTCATTAAAGGACTTTTATTCACATGGTTAATCTCAACTGGAAAGTCTGTTCCCAAAGAAGGGAGCTTTCTGAAAAAAATCTTCCATAAATTTGGCCAGGTTTTATTGATTGGAAGGTTTTCAATACCAATCACATGTAGGTTTTTCTTACATAATTGTGACTCCAGGTAAGTATTTCGTTTGTCCAAAATGTTATGATTGGCTTGAGTTATAGTTTCGTAGCCATAATGATCCTCATAGTGAACCATTCTTTTCTTGCATTGTTGGATCAGCTTCAAGAATTGTACCTGAGCCAGGATCTCTTTTAGCAAAGTAACAGAAGAATCCTCTTCCACCATCTGGCCTGGCTCGGGAGATAGTGGTGTAGCTGAAAATGAGCCAGCTGTTGAACACTTAGGTCTAGTTGCCATTCTAATAGCTTATTAAAAACAAAATATGTAATGAAAAGTTTTATTTACCGAATGATGAAAGTCCTTATCCACCCAGTCCAATAATACAGAAGCTTGAAAGCCTTTTAATCAGGAGACAGATTAGAGATGTGCACTCACCATGGCATCCCAAACAGGAAGAATGTGTAAACTTAATTAAACAATGAATAAGGTATCTTTAACCATGCTATAACCCTATTTACATATTAAGATAGAGTGCAAAGGAGAACACAAAGGAGTGCAAAGGAGAACATAAATCAATAATATGACTGGTCTTTCAGATTAAGGTAGAACAGATGTAGTCTGGAAAAACTGCTACCAATACTAATGGGAACTTACCTTTCTTTTCCTCCATCAGCTCCTGGTGAATTACGTTCTTTTCATTTGATTCATGCTGCAAAGCCTTTCTATATTGTGCAGCTTCTCTGGACAAGCAGTTCAGATCATCTTCAGCCTGTGTCCTCTCTACCTCAAGACGATGGATCTTTTCTTGAAGAGTTTTTAGGGCTGCCACTAGAGCTGATAAACAAGTCAACTAATACTTAATTACTTTTTTAGTTTTAATAATTAAAAGAAAAAGAAGCAGTATGTATTATTACATACCACACTGTAACAGTGTGATATTATACTTCCAGTATCTAAGCGGATGCTAAAATTGTTGGGTTCTTAGTGTTTTCTTGCAGATGTTTTGTTACCAGGCTAGGTAACATCATCAGTGCAAGCGAGAGTGGGGTTTGCTAGCTGCTTATATATATAGCTTGCCCTGCCAGTCTTGGGTGGGGGTGTGGCTTCCTCCTTGATAGTTTCTTGATTAGGGTATTGCTTCCTCCCTGATTGTTTATCTGGTACAAGGAAACAACCAAGCTCAGACAGCACCAAGAACCAATAGTCCAACTCTGTGCTAGAGGGTTAACATGGTGTGGTTAGCAGACTAAATGAACTACATTCAATATCTTAGATGTGATCTGACACACACACATAAAATCACTAATTATGAAAGAAAAGAAACTACTATGCATTTTAATAGTCCAGAAGATTTTTGAAACAATTCTCACATTTTGAATTTCATAAACATAACAAAGATCTTTAATTAATTAGATTTAGGCACCGCCTACTTCCCAGTCAACTCTGGGCAGCTCACAATTTAAAACAAAGCAACAATACAGAAAATACAATATAAAATATACAAGATCAGCATCTGTCTCAACAGCACACTATATATACAGGAACACATCTAGAAAGAGGAATCCCATCCACCCTACCTCAAGGCCTGGGAGAACAGCTACATTTTCAAGACCTTCCAGAATGCCATCAGGATGGGAGCTATACAAATCTTTAGGGATCTCATTCCAGAAGGCAGGTGCCACCACAGAGAAGGCATGTTTCTTGGGTCACTGTTTAATCAAGGGGACGCAGACTGCATCAACCCTGCCAGCTATTACTGGATGGACAGAAATCATGGAAAATAAGCAGTTCATCAAGTAATCTGTCCCTATCCGATGAAAGGCTTTAACTGCACTTCCAAGGATACTGACAGCCAGTGCAGCTCATGAAGCAATGGCAGCACATGGGCATACTGAGGCATGAGGTGACTAGGGCATGAGTAACTGTCTGAAGGGTCTCTGAAAGCAAGAGCTGTGAGTCCAAGACGACCCCCAGATCGCACACCAATCTTGACTGAGGAAATGGAACCCCATCCAAGATTAAAAATGGAAAATCACTGGAACTGAAGGGCCTTGATATCCATGGTCACTCAGTCCTGGTATGATTAATTCAGAGTCAGTTTCTCCCCATCCACACCTGCACTGTTTCCAGGTACTGGTATAGGACCTTGATGGTATCACTTGGCTGGCTCAGGATCGACAGATAAGCCTATTGATGATACCAAACCCCAAATGAGTAGTTGACCCCACCCAGTGGTTTCATGTAGATTCAAACAGCTGGGGACAGTCTGTCAAACCCTGTGGCACCCCAGAAAGGAGGGGCCAAGGGAACAACCTCTACCCCCTTGTCAACACCAGTTGGAACCAGCCACAAAGGATGGAAGAGAACCATCATAAAATGGTACCCCCACTTCCCAAAATTTGCAGCTGGTACAGAAGGATACATTAACTGACTATATTGAAAAATGTGGAGAGATCAAGGATGGATGCGCCACCATCATACTGGCTCTGCCAAAGGTCATCAACTAGTGCAATCAATGTTGTCTCTATACTATATCCCAGACTGAAGCCTTATTGAAACGGGCCTAAATAATCTGTTTCCTCCAGCGTTCTCTGAATTGCAGTCTGAACCACCTTTTCAACAACCTTCCGTAAGGGAAAGTTGGAGGCAGGACAGTAATTGTCTAGAATTGTCGGATCCAAGCTTCAAGCTTCTTGAAGAGGGGAGGTACCACTCTCTCTCTCTCTCTCTCTCTCAAAGAAGCCAACACCACAGCATGGACCCAGTTATAGGTCACTTCATGGCTGCCTTATGTGGACCTGGATGTGGCTGAGTTAATAGTTTGTAGAATCCTGTTCACTTCCTCAAGAGTCACTGACTCAAAATCCTAGATTACCCTACAAGACAGAGCCCCAGGCATATCACTCAGACCTGCCCAGTTACAGATCTGACCAACTTTATCTGCCAGAGAGTTAGAATATTCCTCACAACAGCCCTATGGATGATTCTGTGGCCTGTCCCTCCCCAGCAGGGACCAGGTTACCCTGAACAGGGATGTTGGATGACCGTTGGTTGTGCAGTAAGGGCAGAAAAATATTGACACTTCACTGCATTTATAACCATGAGGTAATCCTGAGTACAGGCTCTTATCCATGTTTGATCTGACTTGCTCTTTGTCTTCCTCCAATAGCATTTTAGGCACTTAATCTCTCAAAGCATCTCAATGAACAAATAGGTACTCCAGGATCTGTGCAAAAGGAGAGGCCACATAGGGACAATATAGTCCAAGGCCTCAGCCACCCCCTAATTCCAGGCTCTATCAGATCCCAGGGTAAACCTCAAACTCCCTCTGGAATTCCACTGGGTCCATCAGCTGCCTGGGAAAGGCTGATCAAATAGGCCTGTCTCCCTACATATGTGTGTGAGAGAGAGACACCAGTGACCTAGAAGGCAATCAAAGAGTGATATATCCATGCCAAAGGACTGATGTTAAAGACCTCCACTACCAGAACATGTCACAATTGCCCCAAGACAAAAACCAGATCTAACATGGAGACTCTGGTATGGGTTGGGCCATCAGTCATCAGGACAGGTTCATGGTTGTCCCAATGTTGAGAGGCAGTAAATTGAAATCTCCAAGACCCAGAGCCTCAGGGTATTTACTGTCAGCCCAGCAACTCAGGAATGGATGATAGTGGGCAGCAGGGAGGCCAGGTCCCCAACAGCAAACCCAGCTGGTGCCTAAAGCTCAACTTCAGTCAGAGTGCCTAACATCTAGTTATCTGAAGAGCACAGCCTCTAAGAGCCTTATTTTTCCTTAACCATGACCCTCATTAAAAACGTACAGTCTGTCTGAATATATGCTAATAGAAGGAAATCAAGTATGGAAATGCCTTGGAAGTTTTGGGAAGGAATCTCAGAATCCGGGGGTTGATCCTGTGTGTTCTCATCAAATGTATCCACTCAGTATAAGGACACCAACATGGCTTGAAATCTTAATCCATGCTTTCACTTTTAAACAATGCAACTACTTGTTCTGACATCTAAGGTAGGCTATTGGAACATTTTCCTAGTGTATGATCCCTGAAAAAAACTGAAATTATCCATATATTTATCTTTAGGAAGCTTCTACTTTGTAGCTTGATTTATATAGCAATCCTCTTCCATCACACACACAAATTTATGTGTACTTAGAAGACTTGTTGGCTCTAAAAAGTATAATCAGGAGAATAAAACTGCAACTCAAGACAACAGGTTTTTTAAATTATTCTCCTTACATCTCAGTAAGGTTAAGCCTACTTCTCAATCAATACCATGTTCTCAAATACATTAAGCATGGGCCAAGAACACAAGTTGTCTATGCTTCACATTAATAGTATGTCATACTATATTGCTTTGTACTTTACCTTGGTTGTTTGGTGGGCAGCTGTTGACTTTCTTTGGCCTGAGATCAGCAAAAGCAGATTTTATTTTATCTGGAGGCTGAAGAAAACTTCCTATATAGCTATGTTTTGATTCAGTATCCACAGACTGCAGAAAGATACATACAGTAGCAGTTATAATTCCACATTCAGCCATTTTCCCTTAAAAATTTAGATCAGAGATACATAAAATTTCCATCAGTTTGAGAGTTACATAGAGCTTTAACCACACACCAAAGGTCACATTTCAAAAAATATCCCAAATTCTTAGGTTTTTTCCACACTTAAGGGATGAAATAGTGTTTTAAAACCCCTGCAAAGCTTAAGGCACCAAAGTTATCCCTTAAAATTTGCCCAAACATGAAAAAATGGACTAAATAAAAATGGTCCTGGGGAGCTCTGGGGTCACAAAAGTAGTGAAAATTGGTTGCATGCAAGCCACTTATAATCAGATCACACTATCTGATTTAGACTAGCAACAGACCTATAATTCTATTGATGGAGAAAAGATAGATCAGGGGCCCTAAGAATAATTAGTTTACACAGACTTAAATTTATTTCAGATATATTTGTTCCTACCATACTAAAAAAAACATTTTAGGTTGCAAGTTTATGTAAGCTACTTTAGAAGAAACTCAATGAGACTTATATCTAATAAAATATGTAGGATAAAACACCCAGTGATCTTACTAAATACAATTTTCTTATAATAATGGAACCACAAAATTACTTTGGCATGGTGTCAGGAAATCTGTTCCCTTCCTCTAAAACCAATAAAGTCAACTGCAAACAAAATAAAGGAAAACAAAATGGAATATCTATGAATACTGTATATGCATAGATTCTGAATGTAGATGATCAGGGATTCATAATGCCTAATTGTTTGATAATTACAACATAAATATAACTCCCCTGGTATATTTTACTATATGACTGAAATGAAGCACATTTCAGATACAGTAATCAGAAACAGATTTTATGTGGAATGATCTCTAAAGACATTGCATTTGACTAGTCAAAATAATTTCCGGGGTTCAACAATTCTTATTATAAGGGCTTTTTCCATCAGGTTTCACTTGGCAGATCTTAGAATTCTAATTTTAAAAAATGCCTCAAACCATACTAAAACATTAATACTGTGCTCAACCCTTTTTTAGCCTTTTACCTTTTGTCACTTGAATCATATAACTGATAGTGTTCTTACTTCAATGTAGAAGGATTACTTAAGATTTTCAATGATTTTTTTAAACAGTAGAATTAATCTGATTGACAAATTCATCATAAAAGCAGCATCTGCAATACTGTAAAGCCATTTAAAATTGTTTCTCTTTACTATAAAAAGGCTCAGGCATTTACTCTTCTTAAGAAATCACTTTAAAACTGAGTACTTAAGGATTGTTAAAGTTGCATTACTCACCTCCATTATAGAGGATCTAGGGCACAGCTCACCTAAAACAACAAAAAATCAGTCTGCTGCTTATTCCAGATTTCAAAGTAAAAGTTAGAATATTTGTTTCTAATATTTATGTTAAAACACTTTTTACTTTCATCACCCCCATTTAATGTACTATTCCGTCTCCTTCCTTGCAGGACGCCCCAAGTGGAGGTCTGTGAGCTTAGTAGGAGGACCTACTGACCGGCCATTTCTGCGGGAGAGGAAAATCAGAAAAGCGGAATAGGAGAGCTTTTCCCATTCAAAACTGCCCAGAAGCACGTAAAGAAGGCCAATACATAATTACCTTCCCCTCTGGCTAAGGCCATATAGACGGCCCCCTCCAAACGATTAGGCCAGCCCCCCCAAAACCCAAAGGAGGAAGTTCAAGCAGAAATTCAACAGGTGACGACCCTCGTCTCCTCGCAGAGGGAGCAAACACTTCTGAAGCTTCACGGGCCTCGCCGCCGCACCCAGAAACAGGCGACTTTCCTCTTAGGCTCCCTCCTCGGAACTCGATAGCCTGCACCAACCATAGAAAACTACCTATTTACTAGAGCGCCCTTCCCAGGGCCGTTTTTAAATAGACCGCCTCCCCTCCCGCTCAAACGTCTCTCTGCCTCTGCACAATGACTTGGATAAGTCCCGCCTCCGCCCAGACTTTTCTTCCTGTTGTTACTGTGCCAATCAGAGAAAGGCTGTGCGCTCGAGACGGCCGGTAGGGGGTTGCTGCTATTCTCCTGTTTACCCAGATGCCTGCTGGTTGTTGGCTGGTGCGGAAGGCTTATTGACACCTCGGCTCGATCCCCAGGCGAGGGTCTTGCATAAGAAAAATGTAATTGAAGTGTCTTCGCCTCCCCACAGAATGTAATTAATTCAGTGTTGCTCGGGTCTGTGCTTTGCTATACAGAGATGGACTTCTTCTGTATTCCCCCAAGGAACAGCACTTGTTAAATTTCTAGATGACGCAGCGGCAGAGCTGGCAGAAAAGGGGGGGGGGGAGGGGGGGGGGGGGGGGGGGGG